AAAAAAAAAAAAACGAAACACTCAACTTTCAACACTATAAACAACCTCTAGAGTTTCAGTAATTATCTTATAGTGATCCTTATGTTCAGAATATACTCTTGTAAAATAAAAGAATGTCTTAGGTACAATAGTAACTTTTTAAAAATAACAGATTTTTTTTTCCATTTATAGCAAGCTAAACCTCAGGGGCTGCTTTTGTAATTATCCCTTAAACATTGATGATCCAGCTTGTATGAGAGAGGGTTAAACTTCTCAATTGAGTTCTGGTGTTGCATTTTAAAACAAAAGGAAATGCGAAGACAAAACAACTTTTGAGCTATTAAACTGAGAACAGATTTGGGAAAGTTGAATGCACATAAAGGAAAGAGAAGGGAGAATGGGTGGGTGAAGATAATACAAATCCATTGATATTCATAGTCTGTAGGCAATAATATTCCTTTACCTTTTCTTGAGTAGCTTTTTCGAGAAAGCGGGAAACAAATCTCCAAACACGCACGAAAAATCCAGGCATGTGCAGGATGTACAGCTTGGCTAAACGTTCCGGATAATATGCCTGTGCAGACAGGGAAAAATTTACATGTGATAAACAGCAAGAATTGGTATCTACAAGGATATATAACCAGTGTAGAAAAGCCCTTAGATATCAAATACTTTTAGCTCGGAACACTTGTCAACAACAGGTTTAGTACTAAATATACTAATGAAAGAAAATTATTACAGTGGAGGCAGCGGTTTGAACAGAAACCTAAATCTTTCCACTTCAAACTTATTCTTATATTTTGCTTTAACAAAAAAAAATAAAAAAATAAAAATTATCTTTTTTTTTTGTGATAGAAGAACAAAAATAAATTGAATGTATCATTGTCAAAATGTATGCATTGCAGGATTTAGTTGTTTATTGGCAGAAAAAAATCAGTTAAAATATGCAGGCATTCACGGATATTTAGTTTTGATCTAGCACAGTGGGGAAACTTTTAGTCCTTGGACAATATTATGAAGGTTCCAATTGAATAATTTTCAGCAACAGAAACAGTTGCTTTTGTACATAAACTACATCACTCACTTGCAAGAACTGAAAACCGGTTATCAAACCCCGAGCATCAACATTTTTGTAGGAAAGCTTTTCCAGATCAAGAATTACTGTCAACTTCTCGTTTCCTATTTCTTCACCTTGAATAGCACTGAAATTAGCACACAAAGAGGTCAATAAAGAAAGCCACATTCTTCATATCCAATATACAAGTCGAGCAACAATTGTGTCTGAAGAAACATGAATTAAAGGGATGAATAACAAAACCCTTCACTTTATGACTTTTTAATCATCTATTCCAATTTGGAACAACTATAATTTCCATTGTTGTAGTTCTCGAATAAATAAAAAAAAA